GGAGCACAGTTGTCAGGTGGCCGCTAACGGTGCCCTGCTCTGTGAAGGTGGGAGCATCATTTGTTGACTGGGCAGTACCTGACACTGACCTTGTCTGGTTGCTGATAAGATAGTTCAGGGTTTGTTTTGGACCTAATTTTTGTTGACAGAATTGATGATAGCCCCTTCTCAGGTTGCATTTAATGTTCATTCCTAAAATTTTAACTTCATAGAAGGGACCACTAAGTTATGCCAATGCTTCCTACTGGCTGTGGCATTTCAGTTAATATAGTGACTACAAGGAGGTAGGTTTGACCAAGGTATCAATCTGACAATGAAAGAAAGCGAACATGTATCACTTTTCTATAACCTCTTCCTTTGGTTAATTGTCATTGCTGCTTTAAAAAAACCAGCCTTATATTATAAAACTGTGCCCCGAATCTTGTCTAACACCACCAGGCCTGGCCCAAATGACTGTATCCCTCATCTCAGCAAGCTTAAGATGCTCCCTCAGCTCATAGCCACTTGGAGAAGATAACAGACCACAACTCTGGCATTCTAAAGGGATGAAATGGGGGATGAACTCCAAAGAGATCAAGGAATGTCTCTTCTTTTTAAACTGGAAAGGCTCTTTATCAAGCACTTTGCCTGACTGCATCTCCAGCTGTTTCATTCTGGCAGTGACAGGCCCTATATCAGATGAAGAGCCATTTCCCGATATGTCTGTTCCTAAAGTTAACTTCACCAGAGCACCCTGGGAATATCACTCTGTTTAACCATTTAATGTGGTATCAGTTAGGGATTGTTATGCATAAAACATTCAAGGCAAAAAAGACAAAGGTCCAGGCAAACATGACTGAAATTATCTAATTCTCTATGCGCTGGGTCTCAGGCTATAGCTTCGCTGGTGAGAAGATCAGAGAGTTGCACAGGCTAGATAACCTTAGACCACTGGCTCTCAGAAATGGGGCAATCGTCTTCCACCGCAGGAGCATTCAGCCTCTAAGATGTAAAGAAACCTTTGCTATCCAGTGCCTAAAGTAAGACATCTTCAGGACCCTGCCGTGTGTGGAGGAACCACCAGTCGTGAGGTGCTCAGACTCAACATTGCTCCAAGGAAGCCACCAAGGTCAGATCCCCCAGGCACTGGCAGGAGCAGGACTCTCTTCTTGGCCTGTGACTGGACTTGAGTCTGGAGCAGTCCTAGTCACAAGCAGGAGTGGGATTTTGGGCAGCTGGAGATAATTAACAGTGAACAGTGAGCCCTCTAACAAGATGTAGGCATGTCCCCGGGGTGAGAAATGGCAGGGTAGGAGTGTTTTGGACCACAATCTCAGATTCAGGTACATCTTCTTTTAAAGACTTTCTGCAAGTAACTATTAAGGTCTGAAGTTGTTTTCCAGTTTGTTTCGTGTCTAGAATCATCAGCTGAAAGTATCTGAAAATGACTGCCCCAGAGTCATGCAGAGAGTACACTGTAAAGATCAATGCATGTATAAAACCAACACTTTGAATTACCAAAAATAGCGACAGATCTGCTCATGGAACTAATAAAAATTCACACAAGAAATATACTTATATCTATTCCCCAAAAATACAAAAAAACCTAGACAAAGCTGTGGTGAAAATTGAGAAACAGCAGCTAAATTCAATGTATGTCGTGGTCTATAAATTAAAAGCAAGCCCACCTTATGTGTTGATAGGATATTCAAGAACCTGTCTGAACGTTTAGGCTAGATGCAAGTACTTGAAGAAATAGTGCTTGGAGTGTCACACTGGGTAATACAGAACTACAAACCTTAAGATCCCTTGAAACTCCAAGGAGTTCACTCCTAGGCAGTAAGTGTAAAGTCTAAATCCTATGGGAAATTGTATAAAGGAAAAAGAAAGTTAGGAAAGGCAAATAAATACATGATGGACATGAAATTGGTAATGGTCTTATTGATAAAGGTGAGAAAACACCAGTTAGTCCCACCTCGTCACTGTGCAATTGAACACCACTGTGTTTTCAATACCCCAACTGTGATCTGGCTTGCTGCCCTCTCCTGCCTTCATGTGGAAGAATCGTCCCTTCTCCCATTATACCAGGCAGATTATTTAGAGCTTCACCTTCTCCCACAGATGCTGCCTTCAAAAAAGGTGACAGTCACTTAGCAAATGGTGACCATGCATCCCACATACAGTCAGGATTGTCACCATTGCTTTGCACAAGCGAGTTGAGTCCTATCTCACCAAGACCTAGTTCAGGTCTGAGCTTTTCCAGTCCCATCTTCACTTTTTGTCTAAATGTCAATTAATGCCATTCAAGATGGCTGGTCTTTGTTCCAGGATAACAAGCATTTTTCTTGCATGTTAATTGTTAATTCTGCCTGAACATGTCAATCTCGGCGTCACTCCCTCCAAGCTGTCCAGCAAGACAGAGCCCAGGTATTTCTGTGACAGTCTTGTGACTCAGTCTGAAACGTGACTCATTAACAGGCTAATGGTGCACGGACACAGCGGGGAAAGAGCTGGAACGAGAGACTGAGAACAGTAACAGAAAAGAGAGATTTCCCGGTGGAAATCACCAGATTGACCCCATGGAGAGCCACTGCGGCTCTAAAGCTATTTGTCACAAGGCCATCGGAGTCAGGAGCAGTAAGCCCTGGCAAGCGGAGGCAAGGCGCTTCGGTGGCACCAGCTTTCGCCGTAGAGCGAGTCGGTAACAGACAGATCCTGATTAAGCGGTTTGTTCACTTTTGGGTATTGCAGTCCCAGCGCAGTTTGATTTAAGTACGGCCATTGGCTTGGGCTCGATGAAGTACATTACGGAGAGTGCTACAGAAGAAAGAAGTCAGAAGAACAGAATTTGAGAGTGAGGGAGAGGAAAATGAACCGAATAGAAGACAGAGGTAGTCTCTCCTTCCTTAAAATAGCAGTGCTTGCCTTTGATGTAAAATACAAAATCTTGGGAACAAAATGAGATAGAGACTAAACAGATGGTGTGAGGAGGGATTCAAAAGTGAAATGACGCACCAGAACTAGATATGAAGAAGTAAATGATGCAGAAGTGGACTTAGCAGAGGAGACAGCAGTTATCATCATGTTTTTTTTAAAAAAGCCCTTTGCAGTGTTTGTAAGCTATAGCATCAGCAAAATACAATATGAGAGCACTTGACTTATTTTCCTCTGTACAAGAAGAGACTTGTTTTGAAGTCAAAGCAGACAAAATGTGTTTCTGTGTGAAGAGTTTGTAGATCTTGGTATGTTAAAATATTACTTTAAAAATCTTTCACACCCAACAGTTACATTCATTTGCTTATCTCTCTAGCACTTCAAAAAAAAGTATACCACAGCTCATTTTGATCAAAACGAGAATGCTTCTAAACCTTCATTCTTATCTTTTCATTGATCACTATAATATACAGGTTTCATTCTTCAGCTGAGAACTTGGCTTTTTTTCCCCTCTAGGTTAAAGCTCTAAATTCAAAGAGCTCCAAGTCCTACCAATTAGGGATAGGAGTTACTTTGGGGAGTTACGAATTTTTTAGATTGGCCTGTGAGCCAGTTCCCACAGAGGTGGTGAGTCACAGGTCCAGCATTTGGAGTCTGGAGTCGGAGATGAACTTCCCAGCTTGGATCGATCTCAAATTCTTTTTTTCTCCAGGAATATTTACTGATCAGCAGAAAAGTGCCACATTGTCATGTACATTTCTTTTCCGTTTTGCCAGATTTACAATATTATCTGTGTTGTACTGGTTTCTTCCAGCTATCACAAAGTGAGTCAATTTTTTGTTGGAAGTTCAACTGGCAATTATTTTCTCCCTGAAAAAGAGAAGCACAGGAGTCTGAGCAAGGAAAAGAAAAATACTCAGAACAATATTGCAGGCTGTATGTAAGGGAAGCGATCTCCCCTGGTGTGTGCCGTAGCAGGAGGCAACACTGCTGTGCCAGCCTCCCACCCAGATTGCCTCCCACCTGCACTGCAATCACAGGGTCTGAAATCTAATCCTTTGTTTACTTCTGCCCCCTGAGGTATGAAACCCTGAGATAAGGCTGCTTCGCATAAATCATCTCAGAATTTCTCTCCTGTCTCTGGTTTTCACCCAGGTGATATATATTATAATTTGTAAATGATCTCTACTGCCTGACCTGCAATTAAACAATTGCTTGGTCCTCTTACGCACGCTCAGCTCCCTGTCCCCCCAGCTGCTAATGAGATACCACTCTGCTTTGAGTGCTGTTCCCAGCAAAGGTACAGGGAAATGCAAAAAAACCCACTACAATTCCTCAGCGTCAGCCAAACACCCCAGCACTTTGATGGGATCCAGCCTGCGTGCTGGAGGGTTCGACTCGCCATGATTGTGTTGCTGTTCGTTCCTCCACCCACACAAACCAACTGCTTTCAATCCCAGCATTTTGTCCTGGTTTGTAAATAACAGTCACTTGGGAAGAAGTGTGTTTGCCTCCTAACTGACGCAGGTCCTGCGAGTCCTTCATTTCTGTAATAGCTAATCTGTTCCTAAGTGCAAATGGGGGCCAAGGAATAAAAAGGCAAGGAGGGATTAGTACCAATTCCTCTCTCTATCCAGCATGCTAAAGGCTGAGGCTGTGGGTTGTTTTTCTTCCAACAGCTTGGAAATATTTCCTATAAGCTATAAATCTGGCTTAATTAAAGCTCTTCCTGTGACTTTTTCCCCCTTTTTTTTCTTCCCCGTGCGAGGTACAAAATGACATAGCTAGAGCCCTCAAAACACCGCCAGCCCTCCCAGAGCCCTTCCCGGGGGCTAGGCTTTCCAGGGTGGCTGTGGGTTGGGTAACCAGCAGGGAGTAATTGCCTTTGGATGAAAATCGCAGTAATTGCTGCTGTTAAAAGAGCATGTTTTTTCCTTTTGTAGTGTTTCTGGGAGGACGCGAAGAACTGGAGGGGGGGGGGCTTATTAATGAGGCAAAGCAATCAGTGTTTTTGTAGGCTTGTTTGTTATACTGCCCGTGTCTGCGTAATGTAAATGCAAATAAACCCATCTTTATTTTATTCATAGTTCTAATGGAAAGTCTGTGTCATGGTCTGAACCAGGTGGAAGACAAGCTCCCAAGGGGGAACACATGTGGCACAGACTCTCAGTGCATGTGAAGAGCCAGGAGACAGGGTGCAATCAGACAGCGGTGATCAAACCCCTCACTAAAAGCTACCACGGCCAAAGCAAGAGCCTGACCTTTACTGACATCAGTAGTAAGACTCTGTACAATGTGGTGGAGGAAGAAGATAGAGAGCCCGTTCGCCTCAACCAGCCCGGCAGCCCCTCCATGGTGGTGCACAGGCGGGTGGCGACGACCCCCCCGCTGCAGGCCATGGCGGAGGAGCCCCCCCTCTTCTTGCCTGAGCACCCCCCCAAGCCCCTGCCCCTGCAGCCGCGGTCTCTCATGGACCAGCTGCAAGGAGTGGTCAACAAGTTTGCCACCGGTATCCCCGACTTCAACGCCGTCCTCCCCGCACCCGGCTCGGGGAACGGCGTGCGGCCCCC